AGATCTATTTCAAGCCAGTCAGGGTATTTGTTGAACTCTCCCATAAGTGGAGTCAGCTGTTTTTGTATGAAACCAATTGAATCTGGACAGTAAGTTTCATAGTAAACTGTGATCTTTAATGTTTCCTGAAATAAAATTTGTATAAAAATTTTGCATTTGTTTAATGTTACAGTACCTTAGCTTTACCAAACGGAACAAGATCTATTTCCAGCCAGTTAGGATACCTATTGAACTCTCCCATAAGTGGAGTCAGCTGTTTTTGAATAAAATCAATAGAGTCTGGGCAGTATGTCTCGTAGTACACAGTAATCTTAACAGTTTCCTGAAAAATAAAAACCTTCAACAGTTTTTGAAAGGTGTAAGTTATTTGTTAGCAGTTTCAATTATATCAATTATTTAAGATAGGGACGCCACTATGTGCGTATTTTAACCCAAATATGAGTGGCGCGATCTTGTGGTCTTGTTAGTGACTAAGGCTGACATGTTCCTTAGACACAGCTATCATTTAATAGCCCATACAGCAGTTAATGTAAAATGGCAACATTTCTTTGTTCATGGCTGTATATAGATTTGATTTCTTCTTCAATCAATATTTTAAAGCCAGATAAAACATATTCCCTTAGTAGATTTCCCATCCTTATGGAACAGCTGAACAGGAGACTATTCTGACTATTCTCCATAAGCATTTAGCTTCTTAGGGTTTGTATTTATTGATGGTACTGATTAAAAGAAACAGCTGATCTGTATCATTAACACAGCTACAATTAATTGGAATTTCACTCATGCCAATTTCCTCATTAAATAAAATCAGCTGTAGTGAAGTACTTCAGCTGTTCATTTTCTACTTTGAAAACCTGAAGAGGAATTAGAGTTTGACTCTCGTCCCATAGAAATCTAATCACAAGAAAGGGATAGTACTTAGCGGGTTTGTCGGTTTTCACCCTCATTATCATTGGCTATTTTGACGAGATGGATCGTTGTATCGCAAGAGGACCACATAGAATATTTTGGTGAATGAAGTCAAGAAGTAGTAGTAGAAGCTGATTTCTGATTTTATTTAGCTCCCTTTACCGCATTGAAAGCTTGTTATAAGCCTGTTTACAGATAACCTTCTTACACATTGCAATTTGTTCTTTCGACACCCAAAAATATTTGACTCAAAATGACACTATGTAATTTGTAATGTAAAATCAAACATCTGTAAATCTTGGATGAAATTTAAATCTAAAAATTCATATCAACTTACTTTCTGCTCTGATAGTTTGAGGAGTCCTAGAAGAATGCTAAAAACAACAAAACCGCCTTTGATAAACCTGTAACATTCATTTGGGTAATTGATTTTGACGGGGTGCAATTAGTCTAATAAAGAAACCAGAAATCAATACACAAGTCTTTTAGAAGACGTGCGCCTTGAAGAAGCATGCACGTTCAAATCTCATTTATCACTGGCAATTTGGTGTGTGATAATGTTGACACAGCGGTTTCCATCTTGTTGGTTTCCATCCAAACTGTTGGTCCGCATCTAGAATAATAATCTATAGGTGATCTAGGCAAGGACAAACGCCTTTTTATTAAAGATATTCTTCCATTTTTGTGTTAAACTAAACAAATGGTATAGAGGTTATAAAATACTCATTTAACCTTGCTTTTTGAAAATATGTACATTAATATTCAAATAATACCACACAGATTAAAACTATATCTTGTGAAATCCGACTAAGAAATCAAGCCAAACTTTATAAGCTATTCACCCTCCAAAGGAGTGTTGAGTTACTAAAATTAGAAACATCCGACAAATTTTTTTTCAACTGTAAAAACATTTTTTTAAAGCTACATTTTGTGTAATTTAATGCATGATTAAAAAAAAATTGTGTTCGAGTTCTATCTAAATCTACTATACTTACATTTTATAGCCTTTCACAGATATTTTTTTAAGAAATTCTCACCAAACTGAATGAAGAAGGTTGTTCAATTTGCATAGGATTAATTCCGACGTATCTATCCACAATCAGTAACATTTGACATTATCTTTCTCAACAATAACCAGATCTTAAGAGGCTATCATTCAAGAACAACCAAACCTTTAGATAATGAAAACCAAGTTTATTTTTTAATATTGTTTCTACAAGTACCTAACGATATTAGAGTGAAAATTTAAAAACGTATGTTTTCAGGAAGAGCACTTTGCATATTTTTCCCCCTTTTTTTCAAAACTTTTATTATTTTTTTTATTTCATTAACATTTGAAGTTTCATAAAATGTCCACGGTAACGCAATATCTTTGGTAGTTTTCTTTTTAAAGAGCATCTTTAGTAGAAAAACACAAAATCCTGTCACGACCATAACGGACGTTTAAATTAATATTAAAAATAGTTAATATTATTTTTATAACTATGATTTGCTATAAACTAATTTACTTTTATGACCATTATACAATAAAAAGGTCACTAAGCTTTTGGTATATTTGGTCTTTCTAGAAAAAAATAAAAAAACTCAAAAAATAGAAAAAAAGCCAATAAAATCTTTTTAAGTTTGTATAACTCCGAAAAAACTTACCTGAGACCCGAAAAATCGTTATGTTTGTATAGAGGTGTGCTTCTTTTGTGTATAAAACATTAAAATATGACAATATTTTAATTTTTGAAATTTTTATGATAGAAATCATAAACGTGATGGTCAGGGACAAGCGGTACGGTCGTGAATTGTCTGGAATAATCTAAGTCTTTCCAAACAATCCTTCAATTATACTGTTAGTTATAATAAAACTATATGTTTCAATTGATCTAAACAATTTCAACAATTCAATTTACAATTATATTAAAGTTATTGTCACGACCAAATACACTATAATCCATAATCCTGGATTGGTCGTGAAAAAAACCGCGATGGTCGTGAAACTTTGGTCGTGAAATTACGTGTTATTTGGCTCTGTTCTGGCAGTAGCCCTGCACCTCATGTTCGAGGATACAAAGTGGACTTCTAGGTTAATCTGGCAATTGAAATAACTTATAAACAAAAATTAACACTATGTCTACTTCATCGAATGACTACGTACGGTCATGGACACACCAAAATTACAAAAAACACAATCTTTCCTTTATTAATCTTGTAATTCCTCCTTTCAACTCAAAACGACCGGCACTACAATCCTGACGTACACCCCGAACTAGTCTCTAAAACTAACTGACCCCATCGACGCCAGGCTTGCCACTGTCGTGCTCCAAAGTTGAAAATTTTTCCCAAATGGTCGTGACGCCAAATCGAGGGACAGACTTATTTTATCATGGTAGTCAGTCTGCAATGACAATAAAATTATAATATGCTCCTTTTTTATAAGTTTAATAACTATTGATGACAAAAAATATGGCTTTATATATTTCGGCATGAATAATTAGTCTAAAAACAGCGTGAAAGTTGGAAAATGTACCTTAGGGACACGTCATGGTCGTGAATTTCAAGACTTTAAAAATACGAAAAAATACCTAGAACCTATTTAAAACCAAATAAATGTGTGTAACATGTTGCCCCCGTCCCAAAAAATATTAAAACACATAATAATAAACTACAAATCCAGTATCTACGAAGTAAAAGGCCAGGGACATGAAAACGAACGTTTTTAAATTTTCACTCATAAACACTTAATAAATAGATACCTATTCAAACAGATTCCAAAATTTTTTTTCAAGTTAACATGGATAAGAAAGAATAAGAGTCATTTCTGAAGTAAATATCGTAAGGATGCAAATAAAATACTGATATTATTTCCTATTAGTGTTCGCGCCAAAACGGCAAGTGTCGTCCCCACCCCAGGGGCTTCGGGGGTGTGAGTGACACAGGTCAGTAAGGCACCAACGTTCGGTCGCGTCGGTAGTCATTTTTCAAGCATTACAATTTCATTCATTTAACATATCACAATCAAGTTTACATTTCAAGTTTCATGTTACATATTATCATTTACTCATTATCATTTATACAGTTTTAGCATTATCATCATATTTCAATAAACAGTGTTTTACTCCATGTGCAGTCTTATATTTCAGCTCCATCAAACCAAGTTCATTACATTACATATTTCATTACATTCAGTGCGTCTGCGTACATCGCGGTGCGTACATATCGTAAGGATGCAAATAAAATACTGATATTATTTCCTATTAGTCATATTTTACCTTACCTATTAGGCCACTCAAACCTCAGAAGGTTTTTGGCCTCGCCAACTATGCCTCGCCCTCTCTCTCTGTCTTGCATCCATTGAGCCTCTGCCCCCAATCTTCTCAAGTCCTTTTCCACTTGGTCATTCCAGCGAAGTCGTGGTCGTCCCAAGGGCCGCTTTCCTCTTGGTAGTCCTTCATTTATCGCTTTAACTGTTGCATTTTGTTCTCTTCTTGTGATATGGCCTGCCCACCTGAGTCTTCTACTTTTGATTTGGGCTATTATGTCCGGGTCTCTGTATAGCTCTCGAATCTCTTTATTAGTGAGTATTCTCCATATTCCATCTTCATTTATGGGACCATAGATGCACCTTAAAATTTTGTTTTCAAACACCATCAGCTTTTTTCCAGCCTGTTTTGACATTGCCCATACTTCTGACCCATACAATACTACAGGTTGTATGGTGGTTTAACGTGAGGTAGGAGACAGACAAGAAGGGATACCCTGGTCCTCCAGGTTTGGGGTTGGGCATAAGGCTGACAACCTTATCCCGGAAAAAACTCTCCTGTTCAGAAACGTCAACAAAAAGCCTCCTATTAGTCATAGTCATCTAAATGTTATAGATAAAAATTATATCTAACAGGCATTTATTACATTGTGTATGCTTTGTTTTTCAAAAATTATGTTTAATTTATCTCTAAGTTATATTTAGTTATTTTTTTTAGTTTCATTCCCTTAAATTAACACCAAAAGACTTTACATAAAACAACACATGTTAGCAAAATACACTATAGTGTAAGATGGAAATTAGTTCGATTAGGATTCCGTATAATTTTATTTTGGTAATTTCCATAGTTAATACAGTTTGCTGATTTTAGACTTTATTCCTTTATTCTTTTACAGAATGTTGACATTCCTACTCTAAGGTCTAATCTATAATCTAAGCTCGAGGTATGTATTCGGTTAAGATGTTATCATAATCTTACTGATCTAACATCATTCATTACTAATAGTAAATTTTTATTGACCAAGGCTTGGATGATTCACTGATTACTTCTTAATTACAACGAAAAGCCACATTCTTTATCAATTTATTTGAAAACTGATGAATCGTCTAAGGGAAAGTCATAATAAACTATCGCACTAATGTCACATTTGGTATAGGTAAAACAATTAAAAAATATAACTAGACTATAATTGTTTTTGATGATAATTATTTGAACAATTAAGGTATGAAAGGATTTTTCCTGCTTCGGAACGCCCACAATGTTCTTTGGTTCATCTCCAATTGGTGTTCCTGCTTATAAACGTTCCAGATGTTGGTTATCGCACGGAACGTAATGAAGTACAGAACTTCGAAGAGGCTCAACACGCTGATGCCAAGGAAAAGACTCAAAATCCCTCCAATGCTGGCTGAAAAACCCAAGCTAAATGAATGTTTTCATCAAATGTCTGTTAAAATAACCACGGTGTAACGCTGTAATCAATTCTGTAATCCGAGACATTTTTTATTTTCCTTTAAATCTGGGGGGGTTTTATTTGACTTTTTAACAATACAGCAATAAAGGTTGTACCACAAATTTTATCAATATATTTTTTATCTGTAAAATATAAGGTTACATCTCTTATAATTGAGGACTACTACTATTGAAATAGTGTAAACTAAACCAATACCTGGTACATATACACTTTTAGTTATCAAATTTTACACAAGCTAACTATCTATTAAACTATCAAACTATCTATTAATGGGCTAAATAAATCTCACCAACATATGCTGCAGAACCCATTAAAGCAGTTCTTTTTGTCATGTTCATGTACTTCTTTTTTACCGCAATGGCCAGGAGGGAAATTGAAGTTGTGCTGAAATTAAGAAAATATCATTATTCTATTATCTTTAGCACTATATGACACAGTTTCAAATCCAACAGTACTGGGAAATTGACTAGAAAATTGAATCTAAAATAGAAAATTCAACAAAACCGTCTTTGTCATTAAACACGCATAACGGTTAACATTAAAAATTTTGTTGCAAACCGGCAGACTCTATTAACTCAATGGCTGTAAAATTGGGCACTTCCATTTTTCCACAAACAGATGTTTGAGGCCTTACTTGAGGTCCACTTTTCCGGGGATGGTGGCGAAGGAAGAATTAACCATGAACTCCCAGGGTCGCCAGTGAATCTCCGGAAAGTAGTCTATCTCGTTGCACGACGGAAGACATTGACAGTTATCCTTGCCTTTCAATCGCATCTCCTGCTTGATCATCATAGCTTTAACAATAAACGACTTTTAAACACACAACACTTTGGCAAACTCAGTAGTGCTCACCTGATAAAAGGTTGCCGGAACCTTAGAAAAGTCAGTAGCTTTTTGATGGTTTGGTTGTAACTAAATACATCTGTTGCTGATCATAGGGCTTTAAATAAATTATCCTTACTAAGGAAACAGCTGATTTAGTCAGTGCAAAAGCTACACAGATCATGTTACAGTTGTCTATTCTACACACATGCTTCACTCATTGGGTTAAAGTACACACCTAGGTGGCGTCCCCATCTCTAATTGATAATGGTAATGATACCGAGAGTATTGAGCCATTTCAGTACTTAAAAATTACCTTGACTATATTCTAACACTAGGTTAATATTTTAGATTTTTAAAAACACCATATCCACTATACATATAATTTGTTATGAATTATTTAAACTACGTATTGTAAAAAAAGTTATGACTTACATTGACTTTTCTCCACACATAGCAGTCTGCTATGACCACAAAGTGGCATTGATAAATTTCCTGAAAAATTTGTAAAATTAGTTTCATATTTATAGCTTACACTTAAGAGCATATTTTCTTTGGCTGTTAAGAGAAGTATACATTCTATTTTCATGTTAAAGCTGTAGTTTTAGACGTAAAGTGAAAATAACATAATTGAATTAAACCACAAGAGGTTGATGTCAATTTCTATACTGTCAAATTCACAAACGTTTAAAAAAATTTAGGAAAATACCAGAGTTTAGACCTCTCCTTTAGAGAAAACCTAAGCAAATTAATTCTCATGGAGTGGATATAAATAATGTTACATAAAAAAGTGATATCTACTAGGGTGGCTAAACGAGACGCAGCCGCAGTTAGCGTAGGTGTTGTTAGAATCACACTCCCTCTCACAGTTGCGCTGCGTGTAGATGTGAAAGTAGCGGAGATACCTCTCCCTCTCAAAGTAGCATCCTCTCTTCATAGGGTTCCATACCTTCACCACATCATCAGTACCTGAAAATCCCCAAGATATAAGTAAGTAAAAAATGGCCATTCTAGAATAAAAAATTTAAACTATAGGAAACCAATGTAAAATCTACAAAATTTTAATTTTATTTTAAATTCATGGATTCGTTGTTGAATTCATTTTTTTATGTTAAATTAAATTTTTTGGTATGTTATCTCTCCATTAAAACTTAATAGAAATACAAATAATTGAATTAAAAATTAATTTTAAAATGACATTGTTTATAGCTTATAGTAGTTTCTGTGATAAAAATACAAAAATTAACTTAATAATAGACTAAAACTCTATATAGGCATATGAAAATAATAAAAATAACACTTACTTGTTACAACTGGAGTTATGAAAACCATGACTCGGTAATTTGTCTTAAGAAAAATATTGCTGTGTACTCGCCAAGGTATTTCAGCTGGATTGTGAAGATATATCTGAAGGAAATATTTTAAAGTTTCTTAAGAAAAGGTTTTTGGTATATTTTCATTATTGATTTTGAACAGTGCAAGTAGACTTCTCATAACATTTTAAAAGAAGTGTGAATCATATTGTCTACTTTTGAGTGTGATTATGGTGACTGAATGTTTTTTCCTTTATTAGAGCTAGTTACATCTTGTGCTTCAATTGTGTTAATTTTTGTTGAAGTTTGTGAATGACCTTCAAATTAAATGATAATTTTAAACTACTAGGACTGAAGATGGTTCCTTAAGAGTCCTTGGAGGCTAGCAGCCATCTTGAATGATTTCAAACAGCTGCTGAAGGGTAAATTATCATCCAAAAATTGTTTTTCAAACACCAAAGTGGTGATAGTGTAAATATCTAGTATACTGTCAAATTAGAAATGTTGTTTGTGTTTTGAATGTATTTTTATATTAAGGCAGTCCATGGAATCCAACGGCCATCGGCCATCTTGGATTTGCCCGCCATAAAAGCAATATTTAATTTTGTTATTTTCAAACAGCCACTGAAGAGTTATTTACCAGCTCAAAATATTTTTTCTAGTATACTGTGAGATTAGAAATTTGCTTTGCAGTTTTTTAATTGTTTTATGAGTTAGAACGTCTAGGCTCCATAAGGACTCTTAAGAAACAAACTAGTTGCTACCTTGGCAATCAGATTACTTTATGCAAGTATTTAGCTAATTTCATGTAAACAACTGACAATTCCAATCTTTAAGGGGGTATTTTATTCATAATTTTCATTCACATAACTTTTTAGTTTTTAAAACTTTAAAATTCTTGGAAAACAAGAAAAGCTTTTAAAAAGTGAGTTTTTTTAGTTCTTTATGACACAACTACTCGTAGTACTACAAACCTGTTAAAATCTACAATTCGAATTAAATACATCAACAATATCCAAGCAGTTACCGAGAACGCCCTATTGTTGAAGCTGCAAACGTCATCGTAGTCATTGTCCCGGACGCTCAGCAAGTACCGTGTGCTGCTGGAGTACGCGTTACCCCACAATCTGAGTGGTAGAGCGTCATAACGCTCACTCTGATACCCGAGGTCTGGAGTCCACACATTGTGGTCCACTCTCTTCCCGTCCAACAGTCCGTACTTCTTGTACCTGCAATTATCAGGCAAATATAAAATAGCCACTTATAAAAGAGGAAAATACAACTTGACAATTAGATTATCCCCCAAAGGGTGCTATTGGCCATCAAAGAGTGTCGTAACAAGACTTTTACTAACAATCTGTAAGAGTGCACCATTGACTGTTGGATACTGAAGTAGACATCTATATGGAAGCTAAATGACTGATAACTCACACTTCCAGAAACTCAGGTCTGAGGAATGCTTCCAGCGGCAGCATGTTGTGGACGAAGCAGATTGACGACGGAGTTATAATGGTCTGTAGATGCGCCGGGAGAGGTTCTATGTTCTTGTGCATCCTGGTGACGGAGATGAAAACGTTGCGTACATCCGGCAGATAATTCTGGCAACAGGATGAGTAAAATTACATTCACAGTCAAGATTATATTTAGAAAACTGTGCTAGTTTGTGGTAGAATACTGAGTTGATTTTTAGTTCAGTAAAATTGTTGGAAAGAGTGAGCGTATTTCTTTCTTTTTGTCCCCTGAACTCTAATTTTCTCAGAGTTAGCTAAACTCTTATCACCTTCTGTGTTTTAAAGTGCATAATTGTGATGGTTACTGGTAACTAGTTTAATTTTAGTTTATGGTACGTTAATTGAAAACTGTACGTTTCGAGAGGTAAACTTGTTTTTTGGTTATGTAATATATAATTGTTGCGTAGTCAATGTTTGGAAAAAACTTTAGGTATGTTAGGTAGGTTGAGTCACTCGAAAACAGGAGGAGATTCCTAACTACCCGAAACGTATTGCAGTCCATCCTCTTCTCCAAAAATTCCCAAGTAATTGGTTTTAATGAAAAGGATATGTTCATCTTTGTCACTATTACAATACATGTCAACACATACTTCTCCCATGGCCGCCTTTAACTCCAGACCGCGGCCTTTGAAGTGGCAAAAACGTCGCAACTAGTGTTGTAACAGCTGTTTTGTTTGGTGGCAGCTAATGGTATTTTGTGTATTTTAGTGAATTTTCCATATAGGGAATAAGCTGTTACCGTAGGTCTCATGGTAAGACCTGGACCAGGTTCCGATTTATTTTTTTTTATACGGAGGCTTGGTTACTGGGATTTGAAAATATTGACTCCACTTTTAAATGTACAGAAATAGATTTTCAATTTTTTTTGTTTTGGTGTTCAATCCCAGACAGCACAAAGATATTTTATAAATATTTTAAAAATATATATCCATCTTTAAAATATTTTATATATTTTAATATTATTTTTAAAATACTTTTTTTTAATTTTTGAATAATATTTTAACATAATAGTTTTAAAATATTTTAAAATGATTTTTTAATTGTCTTAAAAATATATTTTGTAAATATTTTCTATTTTTCGGTTGAATATATTTACAAAATATTTTTAATATATTAAGACAAAATAATTTAGTTTTTTATGTAAAAGATATTTTTAAAATATTTTATTTACCATAAAAAATAGCTTTTAAAAATATTTTTAAAGAATTGTAACTGTAAAAATATTTTTAAAAACACTTTATAACACCTTTATAAAGAATATTATAGAAATATTTTATAAATAGCCTGTTTAAGTTTTAAAAATATATTTTGGTAATTTGTTTCAACCGAGCTTGGTAAAATATATTTCCCACACATTTAAAAAATATATTTTGACAGCAAATTTCTTGTTCCTTAAAGAATTGTTTTAGGGCCATGACTAATAGCTATTTACATTACAAGTGTAGTGAGAGCGTTTTTACATCACGCAGGTGAAAGTTGTGCAACGAGCGAAGCGAGTTGCATAATTTACCTAAGTGATGTAAACACGCTCTTGCGTAACGTGTAACGTACAAGATTTTACCTGACCCGACAATATACAGGAGGTTACGAACAATATTTTTCATTACCCATTTCACTCATCTTATAACAGTAAGGTTCATTTACAAACAAAAGCTAGGTTAGGAAAATTCTCCAAAACATAACAATAACAATAAAATTCAAGCACACAGCTGATTTCTAGCGTTAAACGTCGTTGGCTCCATAGAGTTATATTTTTTAAGTTATCCACTCAATGTTATTTAAATGGGTTTCATTACATCACCGAGTGAGTTTTTTGATACTTTACATCACTCGAGTAGTAAGGAAGTTGTATACATCACGCTTAGGATAGGGAAGTTTAACATGGCGGGTTAGGTAAAAGACTTTTTTTTTAAATAATTCAAGTAGCCTATACTATAAATCGCATGTATATTACAGTTGTCTTAAAATCACCCCAAAAATAATTCCTTTTTTCCAAACAGTTAAACAAAATGTTTAGACTATCTTATAAAAGTGAACTTTTAACATACCGGATGTCCGCCCATGTAGCACACATTGTTATTGTTGGCCCAACGTTGGGAAATGGTCGGTACGGTTATGGGATCTATAGTAAATTGGATCTATAATAAATTATAGATTTAGTTATAGATTATAGAGCAGGGAACACCTGCTTAATATAGAACAATTAAATAATGCAATTTTTTTATTAATATTTTTTAACTTATTTGAGTTAATTTTTAATAGTTGTACAATTAAAGGGGAAACATTAATTAATGTTATAATAATAAATTATAATAACATTACTAATCTAATTGTAATTAAATAATCTTTATTCAAATACCAGTACCCTCTCCAACTCCCAGAAAAACAATTCATCTACTTGATGCCTAAACAGATTAACAGAAAATACTGTGGTATCAAAAATATTTCAAGTATTGCGACCATTGCAACTGTCGGCTACTCTTTCACCACTAGAAACCCCTCAAAACAAATTAACACAGATAGCTCAGAGGTAAGGTAGGAGGCTCACAAGACAAAGGTACCAGGTTCAATTCCCCGTCCTGGCAAAAAAATTGTGTTCTAGATTTTTTTCAAAATTTGTTTTTATGAACTATTTAATCAATTTACTCAACTAATAGTTATGCTTTTCACACTAAATCTTTATTATTTAAAATATTTAAATACATTTTTTAATAATTTTTTTATAACATTTATAAAATATTAAAACAAAATATTTTATTAAAATATTTTTAGTATACATTCGGGGTGGAATAGGATGCATTTTTAAAATATATTTTTTCGAATGGGTAGCCTCCGGATTATCAAGATACAATTAAAGTGGTTTAAATACCTGTAATGTCGATAATCCAATCGGTTGTGAAAAGTACGGGAATATTTGTAGTAAGTTGAAACCTTATATTCAGAACAGGAGTTGGTTTGCATATTTAGTGTGCATTTTCCAGATATGCTGGCAAAACTATTACTGTATAGGAATGCATATAAACCTTCGCAAATACAATATCTGACAGTTTCAAAGCCAAAACGAATGCTTTGCAATTAAATGTCACCCGATCGTGTTAGTCCATATTTTATATCTAATGATAAAAGGAATTGCTTTATAAATCTATGAGGCATAGCCCTAAGGTAGGCCTGTAATTGAAAGTTACTTTTGACACTGGTTAAAAGTAGTTAAAATACTACATCAACCTCAGTACTGCACACTTTACTTTACTACTTTACTTTTGAAAAAGAGGTTGGCGGCCTCTTTTAACCTTGCATTTGCCCGTCCACATAGACTAACCGCCCGTGCGTGGAACGTTAAAGCAAAGCAAGGCGGTACAGTACAAAGGTGAACTGTACTGATACATTTTAGTGGCAGTGGCCAGGATCCGAACCCACGTCATCGCTGCCATGGGTCCGAAGTCCGCGACGCTACCGACTGAGCCACCGGGTCACTATAGTAATACCAGAAACGAAAGATCCCTGGGCCGTTTCGAGCCGCGCAGGTTTGAATGGTACGCCACACCTACCGCGCGAACAACGTGATCTTTTCGTTTCTGCGCAGGTTGTTTTGTTCTTGGGATGTCTATAATTCACTTTATTCGGGTTGAAATTTTCATTAACAAAGGCGCTCTTGTCTTCTCCATGAAACACTGAGAAATAAGGACATTAATGCGTTACCAACAGACATACACACACAAATACAAAATTAAATTAGGGGATTTGCTACGCTTTAACCAAAGCAAATTACAAACAAAATAATTATTTGAAAGTTTTGATAGTGTCATCAAATTTTATGATAATCGTCTTTAGGCCTAATCAAATTGTAAAATTAGTGTGTAGATCCGTTGGCAAATATATAAATAAGTAAATAAATATACACAGTCCACAAATCATTGATACGTTATCAACGCCAAGCTTTACAAATTCATTATGGTTTGCTAAAAAAATCTTTCACTAATGTTTTATCATTTTCATAGCATAAACTAACATTTTGGAGTCCAGACAGAAAATGCAAAAATTATACAGTAATACATCAATTAAATTTAATAAGAAATAAGGTGCAGCACTAACGATAGGCCTAACTATAGTTGTAAATAGTGATATGTTTCTGGGTTTCGTTTGTATGTAAAAATGATTCTTAATACTACCACCGGTTCTAAGGAAAAGCAGCAAAAAAACCATGCAATAACCAACGTTTACATTTAAGAAAAGAACTATATAGTACTTATAACCAATTCAAACCGTCCTTCTAATCAAACTGTATTATAGGTCCGTTGGCAAATAAATAAATACACAGGCCACAAAACATGTAACATGTAACGTTAACGATGTAAAGCTTTAAACAATCACTAGGCCTATAGTTTGCTCAAAAAACCATCAGTTAATGTGGTGCAGTACCAAAGTTAAGTTATCCCTTGGTTTTTTTTAGTTTTCGAAAATCAAAGTTAATTCCCATTAATAGCATTTTTTGTAAGCAACTTTTAATGTTAACATATTAATGACAGTTTGATGAAACCACCTTTATCCAAACAATGGTTTCTTATTTTAAAGGTTACGTAATCTCTAAACGATAATCGGTACATATATCTAGCAAATATTCGGAGGAAATGTGACAAAAAACGCACAAATCTGGGGTTTTGGACGTTTGTAGTTTTACTTCTTAAGTAGCAAAAGTACCGATATCGTTGTCGAAATGTAAGTATACTGTAAGTAGAAACCAAAGTGACACATTGGAAAAGCGAGTTTAGCTACATCTGTAAGTTAAACCTCTGTTACGATCACAGCGAAATCAGAAAGATCTTCCAAGAACGCAGCAACATCCACGATCACCCACTGCAGTTGTGATATTTTACTTTGCACTTTACACAACTGTCATTGAAGCGCCGTCAATGAGTGGAAACCTTTTTTGTAAGCTATTGGTGACGATGATTAAAAATTGTAAGTTTCCCAGCACTAATACAACACTGATTCGCAGAGTATTTCCCCCGGTTATCAAAACTCAAGAACAATCGTTGCACTTGCGATTAATTAAACCGGTTAAGTAAGGCACAACGTTTTTAATCTCACTTGGTTTGGATGTGCTAACAAAACTTGATCGGAAATGGTTGCGGTATTTGTAAACAACTTTTAATGTAAACATATCAGTGACAGCTAGAAGTGAGAACTAATCCAAACAGCTGATCGTTATTTCATAAAATTCATAGTAAACATTCGGATAAAATTTGGGGTTTTTGATGGTTCGTTATTTTGTTTTCTAAGAATCGAGGCCATGTTTTTATAGCCAAAGACACTCTCACCATTCCAGTAAATACAGAAAAATGATTAGAACCTTGATCGGTACTCTAGTTTTCTAGGAGTAGGCCGCGTAAAATGACATTTTGGCGTTACAGACGGAACCACAGAATGGACAAACAGACAAACAGACAGAAATTGAGATAAGACTCGTTTCGGCTTTCTTAGGCTATGAAACGTAAAAATAACCAAAAACTGCATTATTGTATGCAATGTACTGACAAAACTATAATTTTATTTATATAGATACATTCTAAAATTTAAATAAATAGTATGTGAATTAAATTAGCTGGTGTCACCTGTCTGTCATGTTATTTTATGGGATGTCTGCCGCAAAACACTACTTGCAATGTCGCCATTTCAACTAGGTCGCGGTCTGGAGTTAAAGGTGGCCGTGCTTTTCCTCAACCACAACTAGCAGTTGATGTTAATTTCTTTTTCCTCATGTAGTAGTTTACAGATACATTATCAGTACAAAATAATCTTTTGTTATAAAATCTTCTCTTGACCTATTTATTCTTATCAATAACAATATAATGTCTCAACACCACTGTTGTTGAGATGGTAAGTAATGGCCTTTATAGTTTGATGGTATTTTTACTAACTTAGGAAATCTAAAGATTTTATTCAGTTTCTACATAGGAATTTTTTGTCTGACTGTGGCTATTTTGAAAACTTACTTTAATTACATGGGTTAAAGCTTCATCATCAAGATAGTCAGATCCTCCTCCAGCATGGCCACAAAGGTTACGCACAACGTCCAGCCGAGCCTTCCTGAGATGCAAAGACACACGTCATAATCTCTATAACTAATATTGAAACTTATACTCATGCTCACAAAATGTAGGCAGTTTTAGGTAAAGAAATCTATCCCCTCCGCTTGATCCTACATTTAAAACAATATAGCTAAACAGTTGAGGTTTGCCAAAATGTCAATCAGCTTCAACATACATTAAGCAAAGAGTAGTGGGGTAACTTCCCTTTCCGTAAAACCGCCTAAATTTTGCTAACGGACTAATTACAAAAGTCCAAAATTTGAGTAACTTACAAAACTACATAACACATTTCACTTGTTTCAAGTTCATCTTTCATTTATACTTAAAATACATTACACCTTACTTGTTTTCAGATCTCTAGATATTGAGATCTAATTAATTTTAGAAACTATAATGATAAATTCTTTGTTCACCAAGAGAGACCCCAGAATTACTGTATAGCATTTCAAAACCTTGCAAAAAATTAAAAATTAAATTCGAATTTGAGCTTATTCTACTTCACTTGTAAAAAGAAGTGTGGATAGTTCGAATTTGAAAAGAGAGATGTAGCTGACTTTATGAGGACTCAACTTAATCAACATTTTGTTTTTGGTCAAAAAGAGATTGCCTTTTAAAACCTCACTTGGAACTGTTGAGATTATTGGTTGGGCCATTGAAGGTTGGTCTTTTGAAAGATCCTTGATATCAACTTTGGAAAAAGTGGTACTTGGATGTATTAAGATTTCATCGCAGAAATTACGAGGGACTACGTTTGCCAAGGACATTTACCATGGTTTGTGTTTTATAAAATAGCAATGCTACAGTACAGCTTTAAGGGGGTAACTACACAACTTAGTTACAGTTAATTCTTACATTGAATCGTTGAGGTTGGTCTCCTTGTAGAGTGCTGAGACATCCACCTTGGCATGAGAGATGTGGCTGGATGTGCAGACAGTGACGGCTGGGGAGGGGATGGACCAGCTAGATGTGGCTCGGGTCTCCACAGACATAACGACAGGGGTGGTGTAGAAGTCTGAACTGACCAGAGCGACAAAGTACCAGCAACTGGAGTACGTCACTACCATGGCCAGGCCCCAGAACAATCTGGCAAATTGATTAATCCAGATATTTACAATTTTAGAGAGAAAATAGTTTTCAATGACACTAACACAAAATTTGGCATATTAGGGTAGACAATTAGTAAAGAGGTAGTGGTAGGGATATAGGTTGCATAGCATCAATACCGGTACCTAAAACTCTACATCTCTATCTACCTCCACTTTCACTACTCTTAACACCTCTACCTTAACTCCGTCTTTTCCTCCACCTCCACATCTACCTCTACCTCCACCTCTGCTCTCCTCGTTAGCTATCCTCCGTCTTCACACCTTCATTCCCCTAAACCCCCTCCTCCACCTCTTCTATCTCCTTCACATTTAACTCTTCCTCTACTCCATCTTGATCTCATCCTCTACTTCTACCTCTTACTCTGCCTTCAGCTCCTCTCTCTCTACCTCGTTCTTCACCTCCTCCTCCATAACTTTCTATACCTCTCGACCACTTGCTTTTATACCTATACCTCCCCTCCCCTCCCTCTCAACTTCTTCCTCCTACCCTGTTGCACTATCTAACTACCTACCGCATGGACCTTTCTGACTATCCCATTGTCACCTGTAGCAGGTCAGATGAAAATTCAAGCAAGGTACCTCACCTCTCCAGTAAGCTCCTGTTCCGCTCGGCCAGGTAGCGGACTCCATGTAGGGTTGTCATCTCGGAAAACTGTCTCACGTAGTCCGGACCCTTCTCCTTCAGCAGCTCCCACCAGAGCTGTCGGCGACTGCCCATCTATGTAAAAAAGAATTAGGAAAATAAGTAAACAATTTATGATAAAAAGTGTTAATTAATTTTACATGTTATTGCATAAGAAAGCCAAAATTAGTTTTATCAATTTGTGCCTGTGTTGTATGTGTATGTAGGCGAAGACAAGATGACAGTTACATTACTCACTAAAAAAAAAATATAGCAACGAAGAAGATCGAGGAAGAGATTAAGATAACATTACAGACATCAGGAAAATCATCAAATAAATATACATCGTTTTATGCATAAAAAACTTCCATGTATACAGAACTACTATTTATACAAAATTAAGTTTTAATAATCATATCCTCCGAGTGTGTTAGTTCTAAGCCTTAGAAAACCTACAACTCCAAAAGCTATAACAGCCTAATGTTATTTATGCCTCTCTTAGCATAAGAGGTTGTTGCAACACAGAAAATTGAACTGATTTTCATAATCCCTCTCAAATCTCAAAGAGTCGTAACAGTAAATTCGTTAATACCTTGACCGTTGTGCTCTATCAATCAAAACACTGATATACCCTTTTTATTGTAATCCTCTTCATGTTGAAACACTGATCACGATTACTCTCGACCACAATGTGTATAAGAACGTTTAAGCATTGATTATGTACAATTTGTAGTCAATGGTTCAGGGCTTATTATTTTTGAATGACGTCTGCATGTGTTTCAAGAGCCCTTCCGTTACTTCGCGTGTTTATAATTCTATGCAAATATTTATTTTCATTCTGTTGAAAGACTTGTTTGTGTGATTTGACGTTTGACATCATTTTAACATGTATGCTAGGTTAAAAAGGTAAACAAAAAATGTTTGAGCAAATAAAGACGAAATGTAATTGTCAATTATAGGAACAATTATTTCCAAGCTATTTTCTATGGAAGTTGTTTTTAATTTACGTTAATAACAAATAGTGTCGAAACGTTTAAAAGAAGCATTAAACTTAAATGTGCTTAGTTAGAAATAGGATATTTATTTGAGGTTATCCTATTCATTGTATTAATACTCAACTTTTAATTTTATGAGAACTAACAAGGAACTAACGATTTGAGTCAATGAAAGTGTACAAGCTAACTCCAAAAATATAAAAAAAACAAGCTACGGTACCGCCTCAGCTGTAGAAACAATGTATTGAGGAAAACAATGCAACAATACAAGCAGCTGATTTTAATGCTGATTTTACAGCTGATTATAATGCTATTTACAGCTGATTTGGTAATGATTAATCAGAACACAGTTTACATTGCATAATAAATTTTAAATATAGTAAAGGGTGGTTCATAATAACCACTAACATTTTGTTTTATGACAGCTCAGCTAATTCATGGGCTAGAGCAAGAGAGATGCTTTTTTTCGTTGAATGGTTTCTTAATTAATAGTATTTTATTAAATTATAAGTTGTTCAAACTATTAAACCTTTCTGATGGATGTGGCATAACAAATAAATTATTTGTGAAATCAATGTAATCTTTGTTTTCCGGGTGTGAAGTAATAAATAAAACAACGCTGTGTAAAATAACAATTAGTTTATTAAAACTCAAAGAAATATGAGCAAAACGCAAATTCTTGAATTTATTTGAGTCTAAATAAACTGTAATTGTTATTTTACACAGCGTTGTTTTATTTATTTCTTCACGCCCGCAAAACCATTAAACAACACCTCATTTATTTGTTATGCCACCGCCATTAGAAAATCTGAATAGTTTCAACAACTTATAATTTAAAACAAATTCTATTAATGAACCATTAAACGAAAACAAAAACCCATGAATTAGCTGAGCTACAAAACAAAATGTTAGCGGTCATTATGAACCCGTTATATTACGTTACTAGTCCGGTAAACACATTTTGGACGAGTTACGTACGATATTTTCGCCATAGGCTACTACTCTAAACTATCCGAACAATGTGAAAACTGTACAAATCCGTGGTATATTCCCAACTACTAAAGGACAATTACTACACTTAACTTCTAAGAGAGGATATTTTAAGTCGACTTATTGCCAATTATAATCAGCTGGTGTCCGGTAAAAATTCATAACAATACAGTGGTACGTAATAAAGCCCTATTTTTATTAAGCAACCAGCTGAACCTGCACTAATTTCTTGCATGGAAAGTATATTAAAACAATGTAGTGTGGGATCAATTGAAAATGCATTATTTTATTTTGTAATAAATTACAATATAAAGTACATATTTCGAGAAGAGAGGAAGACTCCACTACGAGAAATGTACTTGATAGAAACCCCGAAGGCAGGAGACCACGAGGCCGTCCCAAACTTAGATGGAAGGATCAAGTACAAAAAGATGTAAGAAGACTGGGAAGGAGTGAAAATGACAGCAAAGACAGAGACATCTGGAGGCAGTGTGTGGGCGAGGCCAAGTACCTCTTAGGGTACCAGTGGCCACTCCAGTAAGTAAGTAAGTAATAAATTACAATACGTTTTTCACTTATTCGAACTAATAGATAAACCGAAAAGGATCTAGTCCCAATTAGTTCGGATTAGCGGGAGTTATGACATCATTTATTGTTAATTGAGAATAATATAAACCTATTAAAATGATAATCCAATTCTAATAAACATACGAAATATAACTGAGCAATCTATGATTTCTCAACTATTTACAATAAACTCACCATTAGTCAGTAAATAAACTACTTTGATAATCATACTTTCTCCCATGGGCTTTTCAACAACACTTATATAAGCAGTTAACTTATGTAAGCAGAGGGAGTAACAACTAAGATCATGTATAGGTAAAATCACAAATTTTACCGTACAATAACTATTTAACCGTCATTTTTGCAGCAATTGGGGGTTTAAATTTTTGTTCAGAATTAAAACGACTATTAAATACTTAATCATGATCAGAGTAGTTTGAGCCGGGTTTTATTTGACTTTACCGTTATTTTATGGGGAAATCACCATTAAAAATCGAGATTTCGAAAAAAAATAAAAAAACTGGAGGTACCATAAATTACCCACATATCAAATTTCAGCAAAATGGGATCACTGGTGTGGTCTGTATCTGTACATATACATAAACCCATACAGATACTTGAAAATGCTCTTTTGGCTTCAGGGGACCCCAAAGCTGATATCCACCGAAAATTTAAACTCTGTGTTTACGAAAACAATACTTCCTCCATAGGGGGAAAGTACAAAATCTATTCGTGATATTTTGTTAGTCAACCAAGCATCATTGATAGAATACGAACCGCGTATGGTAACAGAGAAAGATAACAGCTATCAGGGCAAACGTTGGAATGATTTTATCAGTCAACACGGTGGCTACAAGCAAAATGTAAGTAAAACACCTTCCTGCCTACCCTGCAATATGTTCAATAATGCAGTTTGGTCTTTACTTCGTAATTTATTATTGAATTGCATAGTCAATGATTGCATACAATGATTGCACATTGCGGATTAAAAACCTTCGCCGGTTCCTAAAATCGCATTTGATCGATGTATCGATGATTTTGTCAATGGTTGGTACTTTTGCGTTTTTGTATTGTAGAAAAATGTTAAATGTACTTTTAGATTTTTAAATGGAATATTTCTCTAGAGTGCAAAAAACTGTGTATTTTATAATATTAGGTCTTGCATAAATGAACTTTAAAATCGTAGTTATAACTAAATTCCAACTTATTTACATGCAGTGCACCTTTTGTGTGATAGATTATTTTGAATAAGCAACAATTCAATATGTGCTTAAAACAATTGAGTACACGCATATTTTTTCCAAATAATAATTATTGAATAAAAAATTAACTGCATTAGTCATAATTACTGTATAATTTTACTGTAGGTAGTTTGTGAGATGGTAAATCAATTAATGTAAAAAATTGGAAAAAAATAAAATTTACAAAAAGACTTTTTTTAAACTGCACCATAGTGACAATAGAAACATAAACTCAATCGACGCCATTTTACATATTGAGCGTATTTCACTAAGTGGGGTACTGTATGTTAAGTTTCTAGTTTGGGGAAATAAGGACAATTACGTTAACATAGTATTATTATATATTTTATTACTTTAATATAAATTACACATTTTTTTAATGACTATAGTTTGCTAAGCTTTACAAATAGATGAGTTCTAGCCAGAGAAAAGTAGGCTGCAGTAGAATTGCCACGTGTTTTATCGTCATGATTCGATTATGTAACTTCCTTGTACATCGATGACGTCTGCAAGAAACGTAGTGATATAAAACATATGTTTGTAGATAACTTTGCACCTTAGTTGTTGGAAACTTAGATTTATGTCGAATTATGTCAAAACGGTTTTATGAATGTGACACTGGCTTCAGAGTGTAAATCCAACTCAGAAAATAGTTATAAAAATATTTAATTAAAAATATTGTATTAAAAATACCCCAATTATTGAATTAATTGTGGTATTGACTATACTCTGAGTATACTTCTCCTCGTCCAATGTAAAATTTGAAGCCAAGAAAATGTATGAAGTTCAGGACCATCTTATAATTGAGTTGAGTCCTAAACTCTAAAACAAGCGCGTGTACAGACAAATTTTTATTTTTCGTCAGAGTAATTTTAATTTTTTTATTATGGGGTATTTGGCCACGAGAAATCGATTGGACTTGGTCACAAGGCTGTAAAATCCAGTTTCCGCCCTACAGCCCTTTAAAGTCCCCATGTTATCGTCAATACGCTTTTT